TATTTCATCTAGAGTAGGAACCTAATTTAGATTGAGGGTGGTTTGTAGTGTGGTTCTGTGTTTTCGGGTTGTTTGCAGTGGGGGCAGTTGCCTATGGTGTGTCTTTTAAGTTTTTTTAGGTGGTTATTTAGGTTAGTGTGCCCTGTTTGGAGTTTTGTAATTAATCTGTCAATTTTTTTTTAGGGTTGTAGGATTTTAGGTTTGGCTAGTGGTTTTCTGAGCACTTTTTTTATTTGGCTATTTGAGTTTTGATATTGGTTATGCCATTTTTTGGTTATTTTTTGTTTGTTTACACTTTTAATTTCTGATTTTGAGATGGGTAGGTTTAGGCTTATTTCTGGTATTTTGAGAGATAATTTAGCTGCTTTATTGGCGCTTTCGTTGCCGTAAATTCCTACGTGGGCGGGGATCAACAAGAAGGTTATTTGTTTGCCTGCTGTTGTTGGGTCATTGGAGCTTTTAAGTATTTGGTTTATTAATTTAGGTCGTTTTTTTGTATTTTTGTTTTGGAGGGCTTGTAGTCCACTAAGGGAGTCAGTGAGAATTAGGATTTTATTGTTGTTTTTAGATTGTTGGTTATGCAGGGCTGAGGCCATGCCCATACGTTCGGCCGTGAATATAGATTGGTTGTTAGGGAGTCGGTAAGATTGTTTGGATATAACTGGTTGTGTGGTATGGACTCCGAAGCCTGTGTGGTTGGAGATCGGGTCTGAAGATCCGTCAGTGTATATGTGACACCAATTTGGCCAATTTTCGTGTATGTATGATGAACTTCATTCGTTGTAAAAATATCAAACTTCTTCCTCGATATATAACGCGGTGCCGGTAAGTATATTTGCCACATCGCTTGTTTCTTTAACCAATCCTTGGCCATATCTTTAGATACCTTAGCCGCAGTGGCTAATTTTTGTATTGCTCCTATACCTTTCCAATATCCTCGTGGGCGATAGTTAATTTTATTCATTATTAATTAATATTCATGTTTCTTTTAATACGACTCATGACGATCGTTGAATCGCATCAGCATTTTGACATAAAGAAATTCCCTCTGTAGTAGCAGTATAGGTATATAAATCTGGCTCCAGTGGGGTTGCGGCAGAATCACCATTACCTATACTACTTATCGTCAAAATTGCTATGCAAAATACTCTTCCATAAAAAAACAGACCATCACTGGCCACTGACAAACATGGGAGCAGTATTAGAATAAGAACAAATAATTATACACAGTATGACGTGATGATGTGTAAGCATACAGAAAAACCTAGATAGGTAAACCTGCACAACTTACTTTAGATACGATGTACTGTGACATTATAAAGCTGTATATAGGTAGATACAATACTAAGCTTCAGATGTAAACACATGTGATGATACATCTGTGTGTTTAAAGTTGATTTTGACAGCCAGGTCCAAGTCGGACCCAACACAAGGCAAACACTACTGATAGAAGCTATGTTGAAAAGGTAGAGTGAAAAGGGCTTCACTTTGAGCACTGTGTTTTCTTTAACTACCCCAATATGAGACAATAAAGTGGTAGATAGGTTGATATAATACTAGTCTTTAGATATATAAAGAATGTTTAGTAACTTAAGAAGTGCTAGGACAGTTATTAACACGTGTCGTGTAAGCCCTATGACATTCGCGAATATCCACTTCCCGAAAACATCCTGTGTTGGTTCAACATGAATTAGTAGAGGGGTGCCCAACACGTTAATTAGTGAAAGAAGAGTAGTGAAAGCGTAGTCAAAACACTGTCTTTCCTACCCAGGACCCCTACACGCTAATGTTGGTGAGAAACATTCTCATCAAAGAAAACACACAGTCACGACACTGACTTTTCTACGAGGACTCACGGTATGTAGTCATAATTACCAGTTTATTACATTGTTGAAGAAGCATTTTGATTCAAACTCAATTAAATGAGCAAAACTATACGTTTGTGGTCATTTGAGATCTGCCTAAATATGCACGTTTCGTTTTATTATTCTACAATCCGTTTTTAGTATTACCCGCTGGCCCGACCCAAGACGGGCCAAAGTGTTATTGGCTAATTACATCATTATCGGCGACCATACCTACATATTTTTTATGCAACATACACACATAACATTATTGAACAATCACCAACCAAAAACGTGCACCATAATGAAGTAATTCGGAGTAAATCGCTTGAAAACCAGAAAGTGGAGCTGCTGGTAAGCGTCGCTGATCTAGGTAACATGTAAAAGAGCAATCGTTAAACGAAATAAGATTTGAAACGTATCAAATACTTCTATCTATCGTGATACCAATTTCCATCTGTCGGCATAGCGTTTATATTTTTGGGATAGTACTATATATAAGTAAAATCCGCTTTATAATGTCACTGTTCATCGTATTTAAGCAGACACGTTGGTTAAAGTAGACCTCTTCTCCCTATACTCTCAACAGTTACGCAAGTGTTCGGTCCGACTTGGCCCGGGCTGTGAAAATAAAATCAAACCTCACATATGTATCATGAAATGGATTCACATCTATAGACTAGTATTATATCTACCTTTTTACTGCTTTATAGTGTCCCAGATCGCGGTACTTAAAGAAAAAAAGGTGCTCAAAGTGAAGCCCTTTTCCCTCTACATTCTCAACATAGTCTCTATCAGAAGTGATTGGGTTGTGTTGGGTCCGACTTGGCCGGGGGTGTCAAAATCAACTTTAAACAGATAGATGTATCACTAAAGGAAATGTATTTCGCAGGTAATAATCAATTAACAATGTGACAACAACAAGTGAAGGATTGGCAACAGCTGATTGAGTTGAATTTCAGTTTTGCGAAAAAAGTCCGTGGTTTCTGTGGATGAAGCTAAGTTTGACAATGTTACAAATGATCACTTTCTTTGTCTCCATTAAGATTCCTCATCCTGTATCGAGGAGAATTGTTTACAGTTAAGTAAAATTCTAATTAAGATTTCTTAAAGCTGTCACGGAGGCGAATTCAAACTTCGATATCATGGTACACAGTTCTAATGTAAAGTCAGATTGGGACCGAATCCGAGTTCCATATGGCGCTTTGTATTTTTATCTCGAATTTGAAATAAGCGGTTGAATTTATATGCTTTGTTTGTCTGTTTTGTTGTTTAACGCCGCACTCAGCAATATGCCAGCTATATTACGGAGGTCATGCAAAAAAAAAAAATCAAGTCTGGACCTGACAATCCAGTGATTGACATCACGAACATCAATCCATACAATTGAGATAAGATGACATGCATCCAATCAACCAAGTCTGCAAGCCTGACAACCAGCACGATCCCGTTAGTCGCCTCTAACGACAACCATAGTCACCATTTAATGTAAGCGTTGGTTGCTGAAGATCTGTTCTAACCCTGATCTTCACAGGTCCAAATCTATATGTATTCTTATGGTGAGGCGGTCGTGATCGGAGAATAGGTTCGAGAGTTCGGTACACACATTAGTGGTAAATATCTCTCATGTTGTGACTGATAGGGACTTTGTCATGTTTTGAAGAAATGTCATCACTGTCAGGCTTTTGATGATAAACAAAGCGTAAGCTTTACCTCGAACATGCTACTTCCGGTCACAAAATATATGCTTTACTGCTTTTCTTCTGATTTTCGTATTATTAACATTACAACGTTTCTCAAGGATTCATGAAAGTGCATTTTAAGCACCTGAAATTGACAACTCACACTCACTCGCCTAACAATTTATACTAAAAATAGATACGAAAACTTTTGCTGAACCCGAGATTTGAATGACTGACAAATACGTACTTTCTTGTATTCTCATACATAAATCAGCAGTGAAAACATGATCTAACATGGCTTACTGTTGAATGTGTCTAGGATTGTAAACTGTCCGTATTATTCCAAATTGTATGCATACACATGTACATGTCTTTATTTGGTTTTGTGTCTCTACCCGCTAACAAATGTGGCAAGATACACATTCCAGGATAGTGGACGATGAAGACACTGACGTAAATTTCTACAACATGTCGAAACATTCCCAAACAGACAGAATCATATGCTTTCTTAAAGTCAATCCAGCACATCGTTGTTGACGTTGTCGTTTTTGTCGTCTACGTCACCATTATCCTCCAAGGATAGTTGACGGTATGGACACTGAAGTAAATGACACCAAACTAGACATACATGTAAAAAATGATTTGGAATATTTGGAAATTTGTGCATTTTAATTAATACAAACACTATTTTAAGCGCCAGGAAACGGGATTTTTCTTGTCATGAATGGCGAGTATAACAACTTGGGAAGCTAGCTTGACATTTTGTATACGTGAGTACGGTCCTCATACTGTCTTTGCCTTGTTTCTCCCGATTCTCATTAGTTTCAAAAGAAACAGATAAATGAGTCATACAATGATTTCATTGGATTTATCCAAAAGGACCTATCGGGTTTGTTCGCTTGGATACGTCTGACTCTGTATGTTGGCGTATTATCATTTTCCATGACGCCCTCTACATATTCTGTGTCGTACCATTGATTGTCTCGGAGTCAAAACCAAAAAGGCGATCGTGCGATGACGGTAACAAGAGGATCGAACCATGCCTAAGATACTTTGTTTGTGTCAAGTTGAACATCCACTTTGATACAAAATCACACATTGACGTTTTCTAGTGGGAAGTGACTGATTCTGGGTCGATTTGATATGGCACTTAGCTTGGTTGACACTTATTTCTGTACCGTCCAGCACCATCAACAAAATAAACATTAATATTGATATTCAGTACTACATCAATGGGTCGTTAAGGAAAAATATTGAACGACTTGTTTTCAGTCTTGACATGCTTCACAAGAGGATCTTCAGATAAATAAATATGTGCAATAGTGCACGATAAAATTCAATCATGAAAGGCCTCCTTGTTAATCACGCCATGGTCCCTGACCTCGTCATACCAAAAGACGTTAACATATGGTGATCATCATCATTATAAACAACTATCATCATCATTATCATTATAATGTTTATGTTCCCGTAGATGCTGATCCTCCTAAAGCTGTGTGTTTCAGTCTGGGTGCTAGTGTTGGATGCAGGAGCACAGGTCGACAGTAAGTAGCCTGCTATTATTTCTACTTTGGTGTGTTGTTTTTCTAGGTCTTTTTCGATCAGGTCACTGGGATGAGAACTAAACCATTTTAAAATTGTCTATTTCTTAAATGGTATTTATGAGAAACTGGAATGTGAAAAGGTGTAGACATACATATTTTATGTTATTATAAAAAATTCTGAAAACTTACGTGTGAATATCAGACTCGAGGATAATTAAGAAAAAATAAACCTGGATGCTCTGTCACATTCCTGTCTTTTAGGCTTGACTGTATTAGATGGTGTATTAAGGAGCACGTTAAAATCAAAATCAAATGCCAAAGTCCTACAACCTAGGAGACCGCATGTCACTTTATTCAATACCTTAAACTGAAAATAAAGTTATATATTTAACTTTTAGGATAATAATCAGATAATAATGTTTTTTTTCTCAGTTTGTGGTAGTGGATCAGTGCTAGTTGCCAACTCAACGCCCCAGACACTCCAGAACACAGATGGGTTATCTTCACAATGTACAGTACAAATCACCGTGCCAGCTGGTTCCTCTTTGAAACTTGATTTTACCAGATTTAATGCCATGTCCCGTAAAATTAAGCTATTTGCGAATGGTGAGTGAAAACACAAACGTATCGTGAAAATTGCTTAGTGGGCAGAGAAGGGGTGTAGTGGGCAGGGTGTTCGCCTTGAGAGTTGTTCAATTGTTCAATCTCCTGGCCGTGTCATACCAAACGATTTTTAAAGATGGCACCTCTGTTTCCCTACCTGGATCCCGCCACACAGGGAAGAACACAAGAACGGTTCGACTCAGAGTCAGTCGATTGTGACTAATTGAGGCTACCATGTTAAACTGCGGCATCTCAGTGGGCGAGCACAATAAAACCAGTATAATTCCAGGCTAGTACAAGCAGCCACACACACGTGCAGAAACGTTGCTATATGAATGGAATAATCTTGAATGCGACGTTATAATTCATTTCCCCAGTGGGGACCCGGGGTCGAATAGAATGTGTCCTCAGCACCCCATTGCTGGTCATAAGAGGCGACCGAATTGGGCAACTTGTTTGCCATGGGTTGCGCCCCTGTGTCGGTGGAGGAAGGGAGTCTGGTGGTTGAAGGCACTGGAGCCAGGAACAGGTGTTCCTTTTGCCCAACACTTCACTTTGATCCTTACTTCATCTAGACGGGTGGTAGAATGGGCCCGGTTCTATCAATCGGCTGGTCATACCGTGCCCTGTGCATGGTTAATTTCAATTTTGATTATATAAGTGTATCACACAGTAAATTAGGTACATGACAACCTTGCATAGAGTCCTATGCCAGAAGGCAGTGGCGCATTGGCCAAACTGGCATTATTGACCTCCAGGTTCCAATTGTCTTCAAATGACTGTTAAAAGGCAGAACCAATCTGACTTTTATTCTGTTTGACATTATTAGCTACCTATGTTGATATAGCTTGCGTATAGCACGCCTGTAGCCCTATAGTGTATGTTGACACTCCAATGGTGGGTGGGGAGTAGGGTTGTCATATCTGTTTTCTTTCACCATGGCTTCCCAACAAATCTCTGGTTCTCGTTACAAAAGTAATTGAAGGCACGTTGACCCAGATCTAGTTTCAACTTCTGATGATTTGCCAGTGCCACCATCGTTGGATCCAGGACTATCTCATCCAGATTACCAGATAACTGTTCCATTTTACAGCGGAAACGATTCTATTTCAACAGCACTCAAATATATCAACAACCAAACTAAACATTAACAGTTAATCAGTTTTTCAGATTCTCTATTTTGTCTTCCACACATGTTCTGTTTGACTATAGATTTATCCATCACAAGGGATAACTATTTCAAGACATCATATATACACATGCACAAAAGTTAAGCGCCACCATATTCATAGTCTCTTGATTTCACGTGTGGGAATCAGAAATACGAAATATGATGATGTATGACTGAATTAGGCTTCAATAGTTTCATGAACCTATATTTGTCCAGATACAACAAGGAAAGCGTGCTTTACGTGTTGCTGCAGTTCCCCTGCCCTATAAAAAGTGAAATTCAAGTTTCAGACACGTGGTTGCATTTTGCTCCTGTGTGAGATTCCCCTTCCAATAGAGGTTGAAAATCAGCCACAGTGAGGAGAAAGTTAACGAACGCTGAAAGATGGCAAGTGAGAGGCATGAATAATGCTGGCATGTCATGCAGGGCCATTGCAAGACAAATGGGTCGTCATCACAGTGTTATCACTCGTTTGATTGTCAAACATGGTCAAACCAATGATGTCAATGACAGGCTTAGGTCTGGTAGGCCACGAAAGACCTCTAACAGAGAGGATAGACGTCTTTTCAGGATAGTCAGACGAAATCCGTTTGCCACTTCAACAGATTTAAGACTGCAGTGGATTACCCATCAGAGACTCTCGACGATGACCGTAAGGCATCGCCTCAGAGCGGCTGGTTATAACGCCAGAAGACCAGTAAAACGTCCTCAACTGACTGAGATGCACATGCGGAATCGTCTGATATGGTGTCGTGCCCGTAGTCGATGGAACTTGGCCAACTGGAGAAGGATCCATTGGTCAGACGAGTGTCGAATGCTGCTACGAACTGTTGATGGTCAAACACGTGTTTGGAGGCAACATAACACTCGTTTTGCACCAAGGAACATCCAGAAGACCTTAGCATGTGGCGGGGGGTCTGTCATGATATGGGGTTGTGTTTCCTTCGGCTGCAAACTTCCGCTGGTGACAATTCGTGGAAGCCTGAATGGCCAACAATACCAAGATGCCATTCTTCGTCCAGTGGTAGTCCCTCATTTTGACAACCATCCTCTTCAGACAAGACCTGTTTACATGGACGGCAATGCTAGACCACACAGATCTCCGGCAGTTTTGGCTTATTTGCGTCAAGAAGCTATTGCCACTCTTCCTTGGCCGGCCTGTAGTCGGGATCTTAATCCGATTGAGCATCTCTGGGACATTCTTGGCCGGGAAATCAGACATCGTGATCCCCCAGTTCAAAATCTCGCTGGATTTGAAGCCGGACTTCATGAAGAATGGATCCGTTTGCCTCAGAGAAGCATTCAACTACTTGTAATGAGTATGAGGCGTAGGGTTGAAGCTGTGGTCAATGTCGATGGATCATACACACGTTACTGACGTTTCTGTCGTGCAATAGACTCTGCACTCCCTAGGGTGTTTATGTGACACCTGATATGGTCTGCTGATATCATGAAAGTTACATGGCAATAAAAGTTTTTCAATGTTTTCTAAATCCTTCAATTTCTGGTCTTCGGTGAAATTCCTTTCTGCTCCTTTTCTTTTGGAACACAAGATAAACTTGCTTTAGGACAACTTTTGCATCACATGAGGTTTACATATACGGCTTATAACAATCGTACATCTCGTTATAATAGTCATCATTAAGTGCCAAAAGTAAAAGCTCACAAATATGGTGGGTGGCGCTTAACTTGTGTGCATGTGTACATTAAGAATCTCCATGATCCCAAGTATGCTGATCTACCTTCAACTGTTGTCGATCTATTTTTAAGGTATTGTTATATACAGTGCTGTCCATTTTATGATTCCATACTAGTTGTAAATCTTTTTCCGTGATACGTCCAGTTATTTTACTGTCCTTCGTGGGGCGGTCGGGGGTAGCCTATTGGTTAAAACGTTCGCTCGTCACGCCGAAGCCCCGGGTTTGATTCCCAACATTGGTACAATGCGTGAAGCCCATTTCTGGTTTCTCCCTCCGTGATATTGCTGGAATACTGCTAAAAGCCGCGTAAAACCATACTCACTCACTCACTCATTCACTACTGTCCTTTTTTGGCAGGTTTAAATATAAGCCTCAATGTATTTATTATGTTTAACCCTTGATAGTCACCATATGGATGAATGTTGACGATGTGACTTAAAATTTTATCTCACCCTCTCATTAGAATTCATTTCATGTCAACTAATTAAGGGCCAATGAGGTTCCAGGGACAGATTACTATATCCCCAGCAATATATAAATGGTTGTCTACTAAAAATAACCGGGAGGTTCTGTTGTTATAAAATGCTGCTTAAACAGCTGCACATCGGATTGAGTACGCTTCACTCATGTTTCATTGCTGTGTAATTTTGTATTCGTATTCTTGTCATTTTCTCTGTCACCACTGTGATTTAGGAGAATATACAAAGCTGCGAGTGAATGATGATGTCAGACAATATTAATCAATATAAAATTATGCAAATTATCCCTACAAAACAGCCGTGCCATTGAGATAGATTGTGCTCGATTTTAAGTATTGTTCATTCTTGTACAGATCCGTCAGCCAACAACCAGAGGCTTGCATCAGTCACCGAAAATGCGTCAGGCGGCAGAGGCGCACCCACCTACGTTTACCATGGATCTGTCTACATCAGAGTTTATTTCCTCTCAACAATTTCGACATTTGTCATGACGTATCAAGAGGTAGACTTCGAAGAGAACAGTAAGTCGGAGCCATAATGTTTAGTATTTGGGAAACTGGGGGCCCATTTGTATAAGGTTGTGCATTTGACAGGATCCGCTGATCACAGACAAAAAGAGATTCACCTGATTATGTTTAAACCTTTGTTGTGTTCATTGTAATTCCTGCATTCTGATTAGCTGAAATGGTCACATGTTATAATTGTATTAATTTTCAAATGAATGTAAAAAAAAAAGCCATGCCCATCGAGGATGACTACTTTCACCACTACGGAATATATGGGAATCCCAATTTTGCTGTTGATGGAATTACCTTTCTGCTCACCTGTATTATCATGCGCAGGGCTTGTGATCGAAATTCATGCATTCATCATCACGTCACGCCACAATATGTATTCCTACGCAGGACATTTTAATCAATCTCGTAATATTTTTGTGTCTGGTTTGATTAATATAACTGTTGGGTTTAATTAATTGGGTATGCATAACACATAATGTAATATCGAACCTTTTCATAAGGATTGATTCTTTTCGGTTCGTTTTGAGGTATGACTAAGATTACCGATGTGCACACTTTTGCAAGAATCCACTGTGCCCCAATGAACCGAAAAAACACACAGTTAATCATTGAGTAATCACTCTACTATCAGCATCCAACCAGGGCTCGTGTGCGTCCCCAGTTTGTCAACCTGCATCAATTCCGGCTTTTTCTCTTCACTCACCCATTCTCTCACGTTAACAAGGATATTTAACCCAAAAACGAGGTCAGTCACAAAATTGTTTTCACAACATGTTAACTTAAAATGGGAACTTGAAACAGGTTAAAGGTGTGGTGTTTTTAATCCAGAGTAACAAGCTAGAGTAGCTCAGTGATCTTAGGGGAGGGGATGTGGTCATTATTTTGCATGAAAGACATCATACCCAATGTATGGATACGATAGGGGTTTTCTTACAGTTTTTTTTAAAGTTATCAGAAGAATTAGTGAAGTATCTTTTTATCTTGTTGTATGTGATGACAAGAGAATAATCACCAATAAGTCATACTCTCCTGTCATACTTCTCCATGGATGATTTCAGTCAAACTCATGTAAAAGAAACACTCAAAACCATTTTCTTTCCAGCCAAAACATAGGCTACAAAATAGAACATTTTTTAATGTTTTTCAGCGTGGGTTAAGTCAGTGCGTGATGTTGTCATTGGTAGAATGCTCAAACCTAAAAAGAGGAAGCGGAATTGGAATAAAGCCTGTCCCAAATCTGTCTACCCTACAAGAACAGTCAGGCTGGTTTTGTTCTTAATCAGCCCAGGGCCCTTGTCTCCTCTACACGCTGCCCAGACAGTGAATGGGACCGCTCCAAGGAAGCGCTACCTACTCGAACTCACCGAGAACGTTTCGGAGAACGTGAAGACTCCCCAACACTGCAGCATTCTGCATTACCCAGATTGGCAGAAGGCCTGTATTCCTGGCAGAAAACCCATGTACTCACCCAATGTCAGATAACAGATTGGGAGGTACCAAACCTAAAGCACCGAGAACAATGGGGAGTCGGACAGCTTGGTACTTGGGATGCGAGCGTGACATTTCGAAAGTCCGCATATTTGCCATGTTTTTCCTCAATCTTGTCAATACATTAGCGTCAAAAGGGACAGAAAATTCAATGATATAAATGATTACATTGGATTTATCAAAAAGGACGAGATCAGGTTTGTTGGACTGGATACGGGCCTATTCCTAAGAATTTTGTATTTATCATTTTCCATGACGCCCTCTATATTTTCTTGGCCGAACCGCTGATTGACCTCTGTGTCAAAACCACAAGCATGGCGAAGACGGTAATACAATGATCGAGCCACTGCATCATGTCGCTTAAGATACTGTTTTTGTGCCAAAGCTTGGCATCCACTGACAATGTGTTTGACAGTCTCTTTAATTTCATTACAAAATCTACATTTCACACCAACATTTTGATGCAAAATCCTATATTGACGGTTTCGAGTGGAAGTGACCGATCCTGAGCAGCAAACGGAAAGGCTTTTGTTTCATTTTTCAGGCCAGACGACTTCATTCATGCGAAGGACTCTTCAGGGTTGCTGATTTTCTCAACACACAGCACATAAACTCGATGCAGTGCTCGTTCTGATAGCCTCTCCTTGAAAAAACGGAGTCTGGGCCGATTTATATGGCACTTCACTTGGTTTACACCCATTTCTGTACCGTCCAGCAGTACAGAAGCATTAACAAAATCAACATTGACATTGAGATTATGTCCCACAACTTTGGCTCGTTTACGAAAACTGTGGAATGCCTTGTTTTCATAATTAGTCTCGACATGCTTCACAAGAGGATCATGAGGCAAATAGATGTGTGCAAAAGTGCACAAAACAATTCTATCCTGAAGAGCCTCAACGTTAATCAAACCACGCCCTGCCATTACAATTGGTAAATATAAGCGATTGAGGGAAGAGTGAGGGGTAGTTTGATCTATTGTCTGACATGATCCTTCGTGTGAGAGTGTCAATACTGTCAATATTCTTGTTTCGTCCAATCAACAACACCAACAGGATATGGGGTACAGCAAAAGTATTTGTGGCTTTTCTTCTGGCTCCAGATTTTCTTGAGTCTACATTTGTACTCTGCCCGAAGTTTTTTCTTGATACAGGCATTCTGGAGTTTGTCCCTATTCTGCTTCCCTAAGTACGTATACGTGACCTTTCACGAGATGGTCAATAAATCCCCCCCCCCCCCCCCCCCCCCCCTCACCCCACACCCCACACCCCTTCCCCCAGGTATACTGACTGATCTTAACATTTCTACTTTGCCACGTTCCAAATGAAGAATGTTGCATTTGTCGAGTCCAAAGGACATGCCGATATCATTAGAAAAGGACTCGACAATCAGAATCAATGAGGCGAAGGTGCCATGTCTGCATCAATGCATGAACTGGACACACTCGCTATTGACCATGGGCACTTGCTTGTGAACCCCCTCTTGTGTTGTGGCTCGTTTGCATATGCCAGGTGCCCCGTTCTTATGGACTGTTGACCGTTACCACACCTTGAGACATTTGGGTAAGCTTTATGTATGAACTACCCGATAAACTGCACGACTGGTCGACAAAGCTACAATCAAAAACAAAATGCCCAATTGTTCTCGAGAAGTATAGTGTAGTTTCACCTTGAATTGGCTATTGTAATGGCCAGTGCTTGATACAAATGAGCATTACTGATAAGGGACAGACGAAAGCATCTATCTTACCTGAGTGCTGTAGGCTGAGTGCACTGATTATTCTCTGGCGTTGATGTATTGAATCATATTGATTGCCAGGGTAATAAAACCCGATGCAAATGAAAGTGTATCACTTTCATGACTACATTACTATGTGTGCCATATGTCTGTTGCAGTCTGTACTCTACCGAGTCTGGTTTTGGCTGACACCACTGTCCAGGAAGTTGTGACGCCCAACTTCGGGAACGGTCCATATTTTGACAATGTAGTGTGCGAAGTCGTGATCGAAAGTAGCATCACTGGTGCGAGGGAAGTAAAGGTTGAGGTTACGTCTTTCGATATGGAGTGTGGTTATGACGATGTACGAATATGTGACGGTGAGTATATAGAGATTATCACGCGAGTGTTTTGGGGGATAGAAAGTATACTCCATTAGGAATATGCATTCTATTTAGCGAGCCTTGGTGAGCTAAATACATAGCGTTTATTCCTTATACCTAGGGATTACCAGAAATGAAAGTAATACAGAGGGTATTCCCAGAGAAGGAAGTAAGACGGAGGGTATCCCCTGAGATAGAAGTAAGACAGAGGGTATCCCTACAGATTAAGATAAGACAGAGGTTATCCAATGAGATGAAGGTGACGGAGGGTATCCCCTGGTATGGAAATAACACAGAGGGTATCCCCTGAAATGGGAGTAAGACGGAGGGTATCCCCTAATATGAAGGGAAGACAGAGGGTACCACCTTAGATGGGGGTAAGATGGAGGGTATCCCCTGAGATGCAGGTAAGACGGAGGGCCTCCATAGAGATGAGGGTAAGACAGAGGGTATCCCCAGAGAAGAAAATAAGACAGCAGGTATCCCTTGAGATGGAAGTAAAGGCAGATGATATCCACAGAGATAGAAATAAGACAGAGCGTATCCTCAGAGATGAAAGTTAGAGGCAGGGTATCCCCAGAGATAAAAGTAATACGGAGGTTATCCCCTGAGATAGAAGTAAAACAGAGGTATCCCTACAGATTTCAATGAGACACATGGTATCCCCTGAGATAGGAGTAAGACAGAGGGTATCTCCTGAGATGGGAGTAAGACGGAGGGTATCCCTTTGAGATGGGAGTAAGACAGAGGGTATCCCCTTGGATGGAAGTAAGAGAGAGGGTATCCCCTTGGATGGGAGTAAGACAGAGGGTATCCCCTTGGATGGGAGTAAGACAGAGGGTATCCCCAGAGATGGGAGTTAGGCGGAGGGTATCCCCTGAGATGGTAGTAAGAGAGAGGGTGTCCCCAGAGATGGGAGTAAGACTGAGGGTATCCCCAGAGATGGAAGTAAGACAAAGGTATACCCTACGTATGAAGTAAGGCAGAGGGTATCCCTGAGATGGAAGTAAAACAGTGGGTATCTGTCCCCTGAGATGGGAGTAAGACAGAGGGTATCCCAAAAGATTGGAGTAAGACAGAGCGTATCCCCTTAGATGTAAGTAAGATAGAGGATATCCTTTTGAGATGGAAGTAAGGCAGAGGGTACCCCCTGAGATGGGAGTAAGACAGAGAGTAACCCCTGAGATGGTAGTAAGAGAGAGGGTATCTCCTGAGATGGGAGTAAGACGGAGGGTATCTCCTGACAATGTAGTAAGAGAGAGGGTATCCTCTGAGATAGGAGTAAGACAGAGGGTATCCCCATGAGGTGGTAGTAAGACACAGGGTTTTCCCTGAGATGGAAGTGAGACAGAGGGTATCCAATGAGATGAGAGTAAGACAGAGGGTATCCCTTGAGATGGGAGTAAGACGGAGGGTACCCCATGAGATGGGAGTAAGACAGAGGGTATACCCTGAGATGGTAGTAAGACACAGGGTTTTCCCTGAGATGGAAGTGAGACAGAGGGTATCCAATGAGAGGGGAGTAAGACAGAGGGTATCCCCTGATATGGTAGTAAGACACAGGTACCCCTAGAGATGGGAGTCAGACAGAGGGTATACCCTGAGATAAGAGTAAGAGAGAGGGTATCGCCTGAGATGGTAGTAAGAAAGAGGGTGACCCCTGAGATGGTAGTAAGACTGAGGGTATCCCCAGAGATGGTAGTAAGACAGAGGGTATCCCCTGAGATGGGAGTAAGACAGAAGGTATACCCTACGTATGAAGTAGGACAGACGGTATTCCCTGAGATGGAATTAAAACAGTGGGTATCTGTCCCCTGAGATGGGAGTAAGACAGAGGGTATCCCAAAAGATTGGAGTAAGACTAAGGGGTATCCCCAGAGTTGGTAGTAAGACAGAGGGTATCCCCTGAGATGGGAGTAAGACAAAGGTATACCCTACGTATGAAGTAGGACAGATGGTATCCCTAAGATGGAAGTAAAACAGTGGGTATCTGTCCCCTGAGATGGGAGTAAGACAGAGGGTATCCCAAAAGATTGGAGTAAGACAGAGCGTATCCCCTTAGATGTAAGTAAGATAAAGGATATCCTTTTGAGATGGAAGTAAGGCGGAGGGTACCCCCTGAGACGGGAGTAAGACAGAGAGTATCCCCTGAGATGGTAGTAAGACACAGGGTATTCCCTGAGATGGAAGTAAGACAGAGGGTATCCAATGAGATGGGAGTAAGACAGAGGGTATCCCCTGAGATTGGAGTAAGACGGAGGGTACCCCATGAGATGGGAGTAAGACAGAGGGTATACCCTGAGATTGGAGTAAGAGAGAGGGTATCCCAGGAGATGGTAGTAAGAAAGAGGGTGACCCCTGAGATGGGAGTAAGACTGAGGGTATCCCCAGAGATGGTAGTAAGACAGAGGGTATCCCCTGAGATGGGAGTAAGACAAAGGTATACCCTACGTATGAAGTAGGACAGACGGTATTCCCTGAGATGGAAGCAAAACAGTGGGTATCTGTCCCCTGAGATGGGAGAAAGACAGAGGGTATCCCAAAAGATTGGAGTAAGACAGAGCGTATCCCGTGAGATGGGAGTAAGACAGAGGGTATCCCCTTAGATGGAAGTAAGATAGAGGGTATCTTTTGTGATGGAAGTAAGGCTGAGGGTACCCCCTGAGATGGGAGTAAGAAGGAGGGTACCCCCTGAGATGGGAGTAAGACAGAGGGTATCTTCTGAGATGGGAGGAAGACGGAGGGTATCTCCTGACATTGTAGTAAGAGAGAGGGTATCCTCTGAGATAGGAGTAAGACAGAGGGTATTCCTTGAGATGGTAGTAAGACACAGGGTATTCCCTGAGATGGAAGTGAGACAGAGGGTATCCAATGAGATGGGAGTAAGACAGAGGGTATCCCCTAAGATGGGAGTAAGAAGGAGGGTACCCCCTGAGATGGGAGTGAGACAGAGGGTATACCCTGAGATTGGAGTAAGAGAGAGGGTATCCCCTTAGATGGTAGTAAGACAGAGGGTATCCCCTGAGATGGGAGTAAGACAAAGTTATACCCTACGTATGAAGTAGGACAGACGGTATTCCCTGAGATGGAAGTAAAACAGAGGGTATATGTCCCCTGAGATTGGAGTAAGACAGAGGGTATCCCCTGAGATGGGTGTCTGACAGAGGGTATCTTCTGAGATGGGAATAAGACAGAGGGTATTCCCCGAGATAGAAGTAAAACAGAGGGTATCTATCCCCTGAGATGGGATTAAGACAGAGGGTATCCCCAGAGATTGGAGTAAGACGGAGGGTATCCCCAGAGATGGTAGTAAGACAGAGGGTATCCCCTGAGATGGGAGTAAGACAAAGCTATCCCCTACGTATGTAGTAATACAGAGGGTATTCCCCAGGATGGAAGTGAAACAGAGGGTATTCCCTGAGATGGGAGTAAGACAGAGGGTATCCCCTGAGATGGAAGTAAGACAGAGGGTATCCCCTGAGGTGGGAGTAAGACGGAGGATATCCCATGAGATGGGAGTAAGACGGAGGTTATACCCTGAGATGGGAGTAAGAGATAGGGTATCCCCTGAGATGGGAGTAAGACAGAGGGTATCCCCTTAGATTGGAGTAAGACAGAGGGTATCCCCTGATATGGTAGTAAGACACAGGGTATCTCCTGAGATGGAATCAGACAGCGGTTTTTCCCCTGAGATGGGACTAGGACAGAGGGTATCCCTTGAGATGGGAGTAAGACAGAGGGTATCCCCTGATATTAAAGTAAGACAGAGGGTATCTTCTGACATGTGAATAAGACAGAGTTTATTTCCTGGGATGGGAGTAAGACAGAGGGTAACCCTTGAGATTGGAGTAAGACAGACGTTATCCCAAAAGATGGGAGTAAGACAGAGGTTATCCCCTCACATGGGAATAAGACAGAGGGTATCTCCTGAGATGGGAGTAAGACAAAGGTATCCCCAACGTATGAAGTAAGACAGAGGGTATTCCATGAGATGGAAGTAAAACAGAGGGTATTCCCTTAGATGGAAGTGAGACACAGGGTTTCACCTGAGATGGGAGAAAGAGAGAGGGTATCCCCTGAGATGGGTGTCTGACAGAGGGTATCTTCTGAGATGGGAATAAGACAGAGGGTATTCCCCGAGATAGAAGTAAAACAGAGGGTATCTATCCCCTGAGATGGGATTAAGACAGAGGGTATCCCCAGAGATTGGAGTAAGACGGAGGGTATCCCCAGAGATGGTAGTAAGACAGAGGGTATCCCCTGAGATGGGAGTAAGACAAAGCTATCCCCTACGTATGTAGTAATACAGAGGGTATTCCCCAGGATGGAAGTGAAACAGAGGGTATTCCCTGAGATGGGAGTAAGACAGAGGGTATCCCCTGAGATGGAAGTAAGACAGAGGGTATCCCCTGAGGTGGGAGTAAGACGGAGGATATCCCATGAGATGGGAGTAAGACGGAGGTTATACCCTGAGATGGGAGTAAGAGATAGGGTATCCCCTGAGATGGGAGTAAGACAGAGGGTATCCCCTTAGATTGGAGTAAGACAGAGGGTATCCCGTGAGATGAGAGTAAGACAGACGGTATCCCCTTAGATGTAAGTCAGATAGAGGGTATCTTTTGTGATGGAAGTAAGGCGGAGGGTACCCTCTGAGATGGGACTAAGAGAGAGGGTATCCTTTGAGATAGGAGTAAGACAGAGGGTATCTCCTCAGATGGGAATAAGACAGCGGGTATCCCCTGAGATGGGAGTAGGACAGAGGGTATCTTCTGAGATGTGAATAAGACAGAGGATATTTCCTGAAATGGGAGTAAGGCAGAATATATCCCTTGAGATGGGAGTAAGATAGAGGGTATCCCATAAGAAGGGAGTAATACAGATGCTATCCCCTCAGATTGGAATAAGACAGAGGGTATCTCCTGAGATGGGAACAAGACAGCGGGTATCCAAAGAGATGGGAGTAGGACAGAGGGTATCTTCTGAGATTGGCATAAGAC